GGTCTCTGTGGATATATGTTTAATGCCATACTGAGACATTCTAAGCAAAGCAATGTCGTCTCCATGGAAACAAGCCACCAGAAAAGCTACATATTGCACCATATCACATTATTTTCTGATCTATGCATGATCAAAAACAGACCTGAAGTTGTGATTTGTTTCATTCACACAACTTTAAAACACAAATCCTACACATTTAGGCTGAGTTCTTCTTCTCTCAAACTGAAAACACTCTGTTGCACCTTGTGATGTCATGTGGTAATACAGGTTTTTAAACTCCATGTACGTTCACTAGAATCATTTGGATGATTTCAGTTCTGGAATTGTCGATCTCTACTGAACTAAAGGTAGAAAGTAACTATCGCTTCATGACATCACAAGGTGGAACAGAGAATTTTGAGATTTGGAAATGTAGACGAAATATAGAAGAGTTACTCAAACATGTGTGAATGAAACAAAACACAACTCCAGGTCTGTTTTCGAGGAGGTAACAACATTGTAACATGGCTTAAATCTCACAAGCATACATTTTGAGTAATATATGACCTCTAAATATATACTTTTGTGGATTTTGTAAATACAGTAAGTAGCGCTGGGTTCTTAAAATGAATGTTTGATACACAAATTTTACACAAAACGCAGGGACATTTTTATTTGTCATTTTGTTGTGTTTATTTAGTCTATTTGTCAAATAAATTAGGCAAGGTTTAGAGTTTTATTACCATGCAACAATTTCGGAGTTGCCTCTCTCATTTCGTGACATCAACAGGTGGTCAGAATTGTTCCTTCGCATTTTTAAACTTCAATTTCTCCAGCCAAATGACAAAGCTGAGTTCATCTTTGCATAGCATCGCATTTAGCACAGATCAAAACATGACCTAACAGCATTTTGTCTAGTGTCTCTAATGATTAAAGCTTACGTCACAAAATCATCATAACATTATTGTCGTGGAATCTTTAAGTTTGCAGATTATTTGAAATACTTCTGAAGGTGTACTTTATTTACGTACCACATTAAGTGTAGACTATCAATCTGGTGTTTGTGTTGCTCCAAAAATATGGTAAATGGTCACATTTTTAACGCTTTTCCACCATCAAGGCACTCAAAGGATATCACTCACACATTCACACACTGATGTACGCAGACACTGGTGGCAAGGTGGGTTGAGTGTCTTGCCCAAGGAAACAGCAATAGCATTCATCTGTGAGAGCTCAACCACTGATGTTTTGTTTATGTCGAGAGCAGGATTCAAACTGCCAACCTTCAGTGGATCAGTGGACAAACACTCTACCAACTGAACCACTTACATGTATTGTTACTGAATGTGCTCGCCTCTCCACAGAGCTGACCTGTAGTTCAGCCTGGTGGTGTGACTTGCAGAGTGCAGACCTTTAAAGTACTGATGTTGTAAATGTAACAGGCTCTTTGTATCTTCATAGGCTGAAGAACAGTCTACAGGATAAACTCTTATGCTGAAACATTACACTAATATAAAAACTGTAGATGCCAAATGAAAACTTTGTTTCATAGTTTGTTTTTTTCTATAAGGTTGGGTGTTTGACCCTTCACCCTTCAGCGCTGTTGGGGTAACCTCTCAGAAGTGCACCCGGTGATCCATCTTCTGATCGTGAGTTCAACTTGGTCAGAACAACCATGGCTGAATAAATATTTTACCTGTCATGCACGTCATAGAAATACATCAATACTACACAATCCTCCACAACTCCAGTCTTATCATAGTACAGAAAAATAACATCATACTAGAGTTGGACTATATATATATATATATATATATTATTTTTTTTTTTTAATATAGCGCTTTTCACCGACATTTGTCTCAAAGACGCTTTACAGATCATTATTCATTCACTCCAGACTCGGTGGTGGTAAACTACTATTGTAGTCACAGCTGCCCTGGGGCAGACTGACTGAAGCGAGGCTGCCATGCCAATCAGTGCCATCAGTCCCTCTGACCACCATCAACACCCACACACTCCACTGTCATACTGGGGGGTATGAGTCACCCACAATGTGGGTGAACTGCATTGCCTAAGGATACAACAACAGTTTTTGTGACTGGCGCCCCCCTGTGGCACCTGGAATGCCCAGTGTGTCCCATCCAAGTCCTGACCAGGCCTGGCCCTGTGGAGCTTCTGAGATCTGATGGGATCAGACTTTGACAACGAGGTCTGGCCACAGACCAGACTAAGACAGAGTCCTGATCCACAGAGGCCCACATATTACAATATAAAAACAAAGAGCAAAAATACAACTGGTGCTATTTGTCTATTTTTGTATACTTTACTAGTTTTGGCTCATTTCCATATTGAATATATTATTTGCTATCTTAATATTTGTTTAGTTATTCGTTATTGTTCATCTGTGTGAGCTTATATGGTTTTAGCAGTCACAAGGAGAGAGACCACAGGTAGATCAACTTCGTCTGTTTGCACCTAACTTGAAAATACACACTTGAAACTGCATCTCTGGAAATTTACTTTGAATTTGTTCAAGTTTGGCCAAACGCTACAGTATATGAGTTGTTCTAATGGTCTTATATTTGAGTAACACTTTATTATTAGTCTGTCTTCATCTCCAAATCTCAAAATTCTTTGTTCTACCTTGTGATGTCAAGCTCCCTTTTACCTTTTGTTCAGTAGATATTGGATTCCAGGACTGAAATAATCCTCATGATTCTAATGAAGGTGTATGGAATGTTTGCTGTGTGAGAGAAGAGCTCAGTCGAAATGTTTTGAGTTTAAAAAATGATGAATGAAGATGAATATTATAAAATAGCCTCTTATAAATAAATACTGACCCCAAAATAATTGTTCCATCACTCATTTATTTAAGTCAATACAATAATCATGGCACAGCTCTTGACATTTTGTTCAGAGAAAAAAACTACACAAGGATTCAAATGTAACACCTCTGCAAGCTTTGTTCATCGCAGTGCTCCGTTCATTAAAAGAATTGAGACTCAGGCAGATATTTTATAGCTGAAAAGGGCAGTTTGTCCCCAGAGCAGCGCCACTTTTAACGGGCACCTGCAGCAGCCGGAGCGCGCCCGCGGTTCCTCCAAACCTCCACTGGGCGTCGTCCGCGCACCGCTTTTACGCACCGCAGCAGACTCCTCCACGCGCACTCTCTCTCTCCACTCTCTGCTCCATCACCCACAATGGGAGGGCATCACCACCACCACCACCACGGCTCCGGGAGTGTAGCGGTGTAGCGGTGGGCAGGTAGGGACTGTCGTTGTACCCGAGCTCGCACGCTTAAACCCTTCCTCCTGGCGCTCGCGTCGGCCTAAACTTTTCCCCGACTCTCCTCGCCTCTCCCACGGATACTGTCACGCACCTGCACTCCTTCCTTCCTCCGGCGGCATCTCTCCTCCGACACCACAGACCTGTTCTGATTGGGGGGCTGGCTGGCTGCAGCAGTGGAGACGCAGACTCGGGTGGCACTGTTGAATCGGGGGAGTGCGTACGCAGACCAAGACCAGACGACGAGACGAGCGGGGACATCGGTTTGTGGAGCCAGAAAAAAACAACAAAAAAACATAAAGTGCCCTCCCTGCGTTCGCCTGCATGGGAGAAAGTGCGTCAGATTTGAGTGCATCCTTCTTCCTTGGATACGGCGAAGGGAGAGAGAAGAGGAGGAGGAGAGGAGATTTTGGGGGACTCGGCGTATATACACAGCTCCATAATTTCAACCTACCTCCAGTAAGAAGAAGGCTCTGGCTGCTTTCCACCTGTAAGTAAGCCGAACGTTATAAATTAACGCCTGTTACGCCCCGAACGCGACCTGGAGTTGCGTTATCGATCTCTCACACGGCATTCTGATAATTAGAACTACCGTGTTGTGATGGATGGGGCTGTTAACGCTGAAGTTTGTGTCACTTTTGTTTATGGCGTGCTAAAACGAGACCAATTCGTCGTATCCATTGTGTTCTAATCTGTTTTCCCTTTCTCTCTCTCCCTGTCAGGCAAAAGGAACCGACCGGAGCGCCAAAGATACAGTCACCCCCTCCTATTTTAATGTTTAAAATGGCAACCGGGATTTACGCCTTTGGAATAGCCTGGATGTATTGACCACCTGATGTGCGCTAAGGAGACAGCGAAGGGCGCGTGCTATTCGGAGCGTGTGAATAACTTGAAATGTGTATCTGTTATTGTTTCTAATTTGGTGATGTCATAAAAGGCCTAAACCCGGAGCTGACCGAGGTGTGCGGGCAGTCCTCACGCCTGATTGGTTGGATTATAAAACCTGCAACTTTGGCTTTTACGCGCGGACAGCAGCCGTCAGTGCGCCAGGCAGGCTTTGTCATCAATTGGATTTGGGCTGGAGGAGCTTCGTGTTTTGCTATTTTTACAACAGTCTGGACCACATTACGCGGATATTAAAATGGAACTAGACTTAAACCATCAACAGCAAGCGGCGCTCTCGTGATCATATTTTGGATTACAAAGTCTAACGTGCTCTTGTGTGAAATGGAATAACGTCCGCATGCGTAAAGGGTTGATGTTATAAAGTGTGAGCAGCTCAAGAGGTGTCTGTACTCTGAAAAAAGAAACATTATCAACATGGACCCCCACGCCTCACCACTCACGTGCTGGGGTTAGGTTTTGTGTTACGACATGACGTATACACAGTTCTAAGGGTTACAAATCTAGCCTCTTGCACAGAGAGACAAGGGGAGGACCGTGTTTGCAGGGCCTCCTAAACATTGATTCTCCTGTTGTGTGCTCGTGGGAGGGCATCCTCACGCCCTGTCCTCCTTCTTTTCCCCTAATCATCAGTTTTAAAATGGGACAGCGCACTGTGCCAGTGTACAGTTGAATACTTGGCCTCGTCTCGATCACACTCTCTGTCGTGTGGCGGCAGCATGATCCGCTCTGTTTTCTCCCTCTTCACTGATGCTGCCGCCCGCGTGCGCGTTGCCTTGGTAACCAGGCAGTCTCTCCAGCTGTAGCAGCGCACACTCTCAGCCTCAGCAGCCATGGAGTTCGCGATGGTCGGCGCGGACAGCCACCTGCCCTACGGCTACGCCCAGGCCCGTGCTCGTGAGAGAGAGCGCGAGCGGGAGCGTCAGTCGCGTGCGGCAGCGGCGGCTCAGGCCGCGGCTTCTGAAGGCGGCCCCTCGAGCGGTGGAGGCGGTGAAGGATCTGCCGCTGCCGCTTCCGCCTCCTCTGCCGCGTCCTCCTCCGCGGGCGCGCATCACCTTAACAACCGCCAACATCGCACCGCCTCCTCCGCGCGCCCCTCCTCTTCAGAGCTGCACAGAGCGGGAAGGAAACAGCGCGGCAGCGGCGGCACGGGGCGCTGGAGACTTGGAGGAGACCTGCGGCACTCAGAACTGGCGCTGCTCGGGTCCGAGGAGGACGTCATGATCCAAGAGGAGGAGGAGGAGGAGGGGGAGGGCGAGGAAGAGGGAGAGGAGGGAGAAGAGGAGGACCGGGAGCCCGAGGAGGACCGCAGCAGCAGGAGAAGACTCCGGAGCTTTGTGTGCAACATGGAAGACGAGGAGGACAGCGTGTCGGACCGGAGACCACAGTCCGGGTACGAGAGCGTGTACGGGGACTGCGGCTGCTGCTGCGAGCGCGTGGTCATCAACGTGTCTGGCCTCAGGTTCGAGACTCAGCTCAAAACTCTGACCCAGTTCCCCGACACTCTCCTGGGAGACCCGGACAAACGGATCCGGTACTTTGACCCACTGAGGAACGAGTACTTTTTTGACAGGAATAGACCCAGCTTTGACGCCATTCTCTATTATTATCAGTCAGGAGGACGCTTAAAAAGACCGGTCAATGTCCCGTTTGACATCTTCTCCGAGGAGGTCAAGTTCTATGAGCTGGGAGAGGAGGCTATTATGAAGTTTCGGGAAGATGAAGGTTTTGTGAAAGAGGAGGAGAAGCCGCTGCCGGAGGACGAGTTTAAGCGGCAGGTCTGGCTCCTGTTCGAGTACCCGGAGAGCTCCAGTCCGGCCCGGGGCATCGCCGTGGTGTCCGTGCTGGTGATCGTCATCTCTATAGTCATATTCTGTTTGGAAACTTTGCCGGAGTTCAGGGACGAGAAAGAATACCTCCAGCCGCGCGCGAACTCTTCCCAGCCCGACCCCGGGTTCACCCCCTTCAACGACCCCTTCTTCATCGTGGAGACCGTGTGCATCATCTGGTTCTCCTTTGAGATCATCGTGCGCTTTTTTGCGAGTCCCAGCAAACCGGCATTCTTCAAAAACATCATGAACTCCATAGACATAGTGTCCATTTTGCCTTATTTTATCACGCTTGGCACGGACCTTGCGCAGCACCAAGGTAACGGACAGCAGGCTATGAGTTTCGCGATTTTGAGAATAATCAGGCTCGTTCGCGTTTTCAGGATTTTCAAACTGTCCCGGCACTCAAAGGGTCTCCAAATCCTGGGACACACTTTACGCGCGAGCATGAGAGAACTGGCACTGCTCATTTTTTTCCTGGTCATTGGAGTCATCCTCTTCTCCAGCGCGGTTTATTTCGCAGAAGCGGACGAGCCCACGTCACAATTCACGAGCATCCCTGACGCCTTTTGGTGGGCTGTTGTTACCATGACAACGGTGGGGTACGGCGACATGAAGCCCATCACTGTCGGGGGGAAGATAGTGGGCTCTCTCTGCGCCATAGCTGGAGTGTTAACCATCGCGTTACCGGTGCCAGTCATCGTCTCCAACTTTAACTACTTCTACCACCGAGAAACCGACAACGAGGACCAGTCGCCCGTGGTGGAGAGCATGCCCCCGGGGTGTCCCTACTTCCCGGATTTTCTGCGGAAGTTTAAGGGCTCTCCCTCGGGCTCGTCTTTAGGGGACAAAGCGGAGTATATGGAGATGGAGGAGGGCGTCACGGAGTCGCTGTGTGGCCTGGACAAGAGCCCCAGTAAAGGCAACGGCACGGACATCAGCAGGAAAAACAGCACCATCTCCAAATCTATTCAGACTGACGTGTGACACACAAGGAAGGCTGCCCCTTTTTTTATGTTTGTCTCACAGAACTAGCCTCGTACAGATTCAGCAGCAGGTGGACACGTAGGGCACGTTTTACGCACGCGTCATATACACTCTCCATACCTGCCAAGGAGAATTGGGTTGGATCAGACGCACTGTTGTTTCAAATTCTATTCAGAAATTCCTTCCAGAACCAAAAGCACATCGTTACTATTGCCCCTTTTGTATTTTGTTCAGAAAAGCCCCCACAACACAGCACAAGTTACAGATGTTAACACTTTACGCACGCGTCATTCATCAAAATAGAGACATATAATTAATATAGATTCGTAGTTACAGTCATACAAAGTAAGATCAATTGAAATAGGCTATGGTATGAAACTGCAAACCCCCAAATTCAATTATTATGAACAACGCACAAGAATGCCCTAAAGCAGGTGGTCACATTAGGACACGCTTTACGCACGCGTCATGTTGCTTCACGTCAACAACAATAGAAAATAAATACATTTGGAAATAACAAATCCCATGGTAAAATTTGAACTTATTAGATGATCACTGTATAATATTGTGTTATAATAATAATATTTGCACATTGGTGTTCAAAACGACACAAGAGACAAACCAAACTCATATTTGGAACGCACATTCTATAACTGTGCAGAGAATAAAAAACACTTAATGAAATTATTTGACATAAATATTTCTTTGTTAACAAGAGAAATAAAAGTACACATCTGACACGTGCTCTTCAGGTGACAGATGTAGTTAGGCAGTGCGCACGTATTACGCACGTGCCAGAGCCCTGACGGTTTTCACTCCTGTGGTGCAGAATCTTGACCACAGTCTCCCGTTCTAGACTTTATTTTGCCAAGAAATATAATCAAAACATCGGGCTTCCAAATCTGACCCCCAAACCACATTTAGGAAAGGACAGGCTATGCATTCGCACTTTAGCAGTGCCATGTGTCAATAAGAGAAGAGCAGAGAGCGTCTCGCGGTTGGCTGTTATGCAATAACGTCACATTTGTTTGCACTAATGTCGTTTATCGGGGTTTGGTAGATTTATAGTTTTGTTTTTAGAGACAGAAACTGTAGGCACCACTTCAGTCAGAACACTTCCGAAGAGTCTTCAAAAGAATCTTCAAGTGTGTTAGAGGCGCTTTATCGGGCTGCAGGGAGGCGAGTGGACTTTATTTTGTTATAGATCTATATCTTAGTATTCACAAAGATCCTTTAAGACACAGCAGCGTACAGCAGTCATTAGCACACGAGGGCTTGAATGATTTCTAATCTGTTTTTACAACGGGCCGGAGCAGCCTGTTGACCCCACGAGAGCTAAGCACAGGAATAAATCCGAAGACTTGTCCTGCCCGCGTTTGTACACGGACACAAGCGGACCCTCTCTCCTCCAGTGTCTCTGAAACCACCTCAAACTGACAGTATCCCTTTACGCTGTGGCAGACGGAAAGATACAGCTGAAAAGACCCTGTTGTTGTTGTGGAACTGTCCGGGAGTTTACAAGCAGCTTCCTCTCCCGCCCGCTGGACCTCCTGCACAATTCTTTTTTTCTCCAGAGGACTATGATTATCTCCGAGCTCAGAGGAACCGCGGGATGTGGATGTCTTCCAAGGTAGGCCCCGTCTTCTTCCACTCTCTTTTTCATGTCACTGTGTTTATTGCATTACGCTGGGAAAAGTGACTCAGACATATTCATCGATACTCTACCGCTAATGCCAATGCTGTGAGTTATTTATAGCGGCTATTTTCAAGTCTGACACGGCCTGTCCATTAAAGCATGACGCATTATGAAGCGTGCGTAATCGTGCGTAAAATACTGTCGGTGGACGCAGGCCAAAATGGCGCACAGAAGACAGCGTTTATCTTGGAGTATTTGCGAGCAGACACTCCAACAGGCCTTTGATGAATGAACGCGCACCATAACAAGTAATAATGATAATGTGCTCTCGTGCAGTTGCTGTCTCTCAATCTCCTTTTTAAGTTTTGGCCGGTTCCAAATGTTTATTGTTAAGTAAACATTCTGGAATGAGGAGATGGGAACACTGGGTACATTTACATCCACTAAAATCAGATAACTAGAATAGTCAGGTAACGATAATTAAATCAGAGTTGTGTTTAACATTAGTTTGCTTGTTTTCCCTCAATTCTCCTTGTGAAAAATCTGCCCAGGTACAGAAAGAACTCAGATTACTCAGGTCAGGTGGAACTGGAGATCTGTTTTTTTTTCTGTTCTGATACCGATGTCGATACTTTGGTTTTAACTATCTGTCAGTACCCGATATTGGCCGATATTTGGGCAGAGACTGAACACATTTCTATTAATTTGATTTATTTCCTTTAAACACAAACCCCATATAATAACACTTACCTAAATACGTTTTGTAACTTGTTTTAAAATTTAAAAGTAACTACAGAACAACTTTGAACAGCTTTGAGGTGTTTTGAGCCAACTTTGTAGTGGATCTTATTACACCAATTTGTAATTTATACCAATTTTGGGATCGACCAAACCGGACATGGGCATTGTCCAGCTCCTGTGCCACATACGGTGCTTTGTTTGACTCTGACCAGCCCGTTTAAGCTCATTTGGAATTAAAAAATAAACATATTTTTTCAATTTTTCCTCATGCATGGACTAAAACTCCAGTGTTTTTCATTTTAGAGCTGTTTTTTATGACATTTTTTGCAAGGCAGCCTCACTTTTTCATTGCTTAGTCATTAAACTATTACCAGTCTGAGCAGCTCCTCACAACAATGATATTTACTGCTTTTTTAAAATAAAGAAATACAGTTAATATTATGCAGAACTGAGTTAAGCATTTTAGTTCAGCCCTCCACAATATTTTTTGTTTCTTACGTGGGCCCATGGAAAAAATAATCACCCATTCTTGATTTAGAAGGATTCTGTACTGAATTTTGAGTCCGTTAAAGCTGTCGTGAAGTTCCTTTTACGCTTAGTTTAGTAGAGATCAGCAATTCCAGGTCTGAAATGATCCAAATGATTCTAGTGAAGCTTTATGGAGTTGAGAAACACATAGACCCCTTCAGTGAATGGGAGGACCCAAACCCTCCCATTCACTGAAGCTTTTGGACATAGGCCATCTGAGTGTGCTATGCATTTTTTCACTCTTGTTAGGGCTGGTACTTTTTATCATTTAACCAATCGCTGCTATTTGGTCGTGATCAGTGTTGGGGAGTAACAGATTACATGTACCACCGTTACGTAATCAGAGTACAAATTATGAGTAACTGTATTCCGTTACAGTTACTGTTTCAATGAGTGGTAATTGGATTACAGTTACTTTGCTGAAATAAGTGGATTACAAGGCGGTATTTTCCTGTTTTCACATTTTGTGCTACATCCCATTTATTTATTTTTTTATTTCGGTAATTTCACTCATTGCCTGAAGCCCAAACAGAACGCGACAGTAAGAGCGATGGAAACGTCATGTTAAAGTTGGCGGTGTCAGTCACACAGTGGAAGCAGCAGTGCATTGGTAAAAACGCATTTGTGTCTTGGAAATTCTTCTCCCGATGTGAGATATATATATAAAAAAAAAAACAAATATAAAATCGCCTACAACTTAAATGTGAAACAGGAGCTACTGGCACCGGTGAAAACAACCTGCATAGACTCATAATATCTGCACTACTGTCCTATAGTGACCTGCCACATGAGAGGACGCGCACACAAACACACACACACACACACACACACACACACACACACACACACAAACACACACACACACACACACAAACACACACACACACACACACACACACAAACACCTTCATCATCGTCATCAACCTGAGAACCCGCGGACCACTTCTCCTTCCGTAGTTACTGCGCGGACACCGCCGTCTCGTGAGCCGCGTGTGGACCGTGTTTTCTCGCGTAAACCGAGCTTCCTCCTGTGCGCCTCTAAACCAGAACTAACACAGGACTAAACCAGGACTAAACCAGGACTAACACCAGGACTAAACCAGGACTAACACCAGGACTAAACCAGGACTAAAGCAGGACTGAACCAGGTTTAAACTAGGACTAAACCACGACTAAACCAGAACTAAAGACCTGGTCTAGACCAGGTCTAAAAATCAGGACTAAACCAGGACTAAACCAGGTCTAAACAACATGACACCTAACAGTAGGTTGACATAATTTAAGGTGATCTCATATAATTTCTCTATCAATAATATTTTTTAATCTGGTGAAGGAAAGGCTGATCTTGTTACTGTCTTTTAACAGACAAAACCTCTTATGTTAAGATCTCCTGGTCTTTGTTTCTCTACAGTAAACAGTTGCTTATTCATGGAGACTTGGGCTCAGACAAATTGAAGAAAACAAACACGAATTTTGAGGATGTGGTTGCTACATTCATGTCGTTTAAAAAAACATGACAATATCAAGTAATCCAAAGTAATCAGATTACGTTACTCACTTTAAGTAATTTAATGGATTACGTTACAAATTACATTTTGGGGTGTGTAATATGTAATCTGTAGGGGATTACATTCTAAAAGTAACCTTCCCAACACTGGTCGTGATGTATGTAATGCGCCGCTAACGGGGTTAACTGGTATATTAAGCTTTTCCCAAATCCCGTAGGAAGAAGAACAATAACTTTTTTACTCTTGATAAAATTCACCAAACATTCTCTTTGTTCCAGCTTTAAATCCTTTATCTCAGGAATCATTGACAACACAGAATATCTGGCTAAAGTGACCTTAAAGCAAACTAAATAAACTAACTTAGGAGGGCCATGGACCATGAGGGAACCAGGGGCAGATTTTTTACATTCAAATCACTCTTATTCAGAAACTATTGAAATAAGTAAAGTATCAGAATGTAGGAAAGAGTTACACTCCAACAGGGTCAAGTTAAACCTGTGATATTCTTTCAAGTTGTTGACAAAAAATTTAAAAACTCATGTCAGTAACAGAGGGAATGAAATATGCAGCACTTTTTGGGCAATAAA